CACACCAGATAATATAACTCCCACACTTGCTGTCTAACACACCAGATAATATAACACCAACACTTGCTGTCTAACACACCAGATAATATAACACCCACACTTGCTGTCTAACACACCAGATAATATAACACCCACACTTGCTGTCTAACACACCTTCGAACTTTAAATATCATCTGAACTCTTGATTGACTTACTTTAAACCTAGTATGTTGATGTAAGTTAAAACGAACATTAATTTTACAACAAACGCATGATGCAGTGTGTCATTCTCCGATTTGACATATAACTCAAGATACACATTCTGCAAAGTTTAGTTTCGCAGGACAGTGTGTTCTTCACACCTTTCTTGTTTGCGTTGAAAATGAAGAGAAACAGATTTTCCCATTGTTGGTATCCAGCACTGCTGATGTAGCAGGTGTGGAAGTTCTGTGTAGCCCAATAATTTGAGATTATACAGACGCTGTCTCTCTCTTTATATATATATATATATAAAGTATAGTCTGTGTATATGTACTTATTTATTTAATCGGAGACCTTTTTTGTATGTTCATGTCTTTTATTTTTTTTTGTAATTTAACTTTTGTTTAGCCTATGTAACTGGGAAAATACGTGGTTGTGAGTTGGGTGCTAGGACTATGAGAGTTACGTTCTGTAATAAGTTTGGAAAACATAGGAAAATAGCGGGAACGACGAAAGTTTAGTTCCTGCCTAGAGGCTTTTTAATATTTCCATCATGAGCTGTCTTATAAAAACGAGTTGAAACGTTCGAATGCTTCTGTGTTTACAGATACACTTGTAGCTGGACAGGAATATTTTACCAGCTTGGGAGTAATAACCAACATAATCTTCCTGTTTTCTTTTATTTTTTGAACTTAGTTCAAGAAACGGAAGAGAAGAAGAACCGGGATATGATGGAGAAAAAGCAACTAAATGACAGTGTAAGGGTTACCAATCTGTATATTAATCTTTACTGTCGTCTGATTTTGTAGATATTCTTACTTTGCGTGTAACGATAGTTTTCCGAAAGTTCTTGAAACCCTGTTATATATCCTTGTCTAAATTTCAATGTTTGGTAAGAGCTCTGAAAAATAGAAACGTTTTGAATTCTCTTCGCAGTAATCAAGCTTTAGGTAATTATTGCTGTTTATTTTTGGAGAAAATATAGTGCATCTGGAGTATTTCATCAACTATTAGCTTTATTCGGCATCATTTATTCAATCAACTTCTCAGTTTTATCTAGTGGAGTTGTTTGCGAGTAGATGAAAGCTAGAAAACTTTGTGGGTGCCTTTTGTAACCGCCTGAAAACAGCTAAAAGCTAGCAATCTTTGTGGGTGCTTTTTGTAACCGCCTGATACAGCTAAAGGCTAGCAAACTTTGTGGGTGCCTTTTGTAACCGTTTTAGCTGTTTTCAGGTGGTTACAAAAGGCACCCACAAAGATTGCTAGCCTTTAGCTGTTTTCAGGCGGTAACAAAAAGCACCCACAAAATTTTCTAGTTTTTAGCTGTTTCAGGCGGTTACAAAAGGCACCCACAAAGTTTGCTAGCTGTTAGCTGTTTCAGGCGGTTACAAAAGGCACCCACAAAGATGGCTAGCGTTTAGCTGTTTTCAGATATTCCGAAAATATATCACTTTAATTAATCTTTATTCGAGCAAAAGCTTTCAGACGGTTACAAAAAGCACCCACAAAGATTGCTAGCTTTTAGCTGTTTTCAGGTGGTTACAAAAGGCACCCACAAAGATTGCTAGCTTTTAGCTGTTTTCAGGCGGTTACAAAAAGCACCCACAAGGATTGCTAGCTTTAATTCGAGCTATACTGAAATAGAGGATAAAAACTTTCAGAGCAGAGTTAATCTGACTCTCACGTGGCTCCCATGTTGTAAATTAGGAAGATATTCCGAAAATATATCACTTTAATTAATCTTTATTCGAGCTATACTGAAATAGAGGATAAAAACTTTCAGAGCACAGTTAATCTGACTCTCACGTGGCTCCCATGTTGTAAATTAGGAAGATTGGAAAAAATCAACAATTCATATTCTGATTCTTTGAGATATCAATGTTTATTAGTTTAAAAAGGAATTGGGTATTTGTTCAACAGTTTTATTCTGTATCTACTTCGGTTCGATTTTTGTGTAACCCAGTTACTGATTTACACTATTTAATGAAGTTAGGTCAATATTAGTATGGAAATGTCTTACTTTTAGTGGACAGTTATTTCAATACCTATGTAGTTCTTTTTTTTAGAGAATTGTGTAGGATCTGGACACTTTATTAGGACCTGTATACCCTTTGAGAATTAGGCCCAACTCGAGTTGCAGATGCAAAGTAAGTTGATCGCGTTACTGTGTCAGGTAATCCCTGTTGCACTATAAATGTTTGAGACAAGCAAATTTGCAGTCAGCCTAACAGATAAGTGGAAAAGCAAAGACATTACAGCGTTCAAAAGAGGCATGGTAGTGGCTGCATGTCTAGCAGGTGCCACAGTGGCTAAGACAGTTTCAAGGAGTATGTTGCTCCAAGATATCAGTCATTCGAGTTTATCAGTAATGAAACAAGTTGAATACCATGTAATGACAGAAAGAGGAGAAAAGTAGTTAGACAAGATGGTAAATAAAGTCCAACCGTCATCAAACGATGCACCAACTGACAAAAATTTAGTGTACAATTTTATAAGTCGCTGGACTTGGTTATCAACAAGAAAAAAAAACACACCACCTTTAGTAGTTGAAAGTTTGTTTGTTTTGTTTTGAATTTCGCGCAAAGCTAAACGAGGGTTATTAGCGCTAGCCATCTCTAATTTAGCAGTGTAAGACTAGAGGGAAGGCAGCTAGCCAACACCACCCACCGCCAACTCTTGGGCTACTCTTTTACCAACGAATAGTGGGATTGACCGTCACATTATAACGCCTCCACGGCTAAAAGGGCGAGCATGTTTGGTGTGACGGGGATTCGAAGTCGAGAGCCCTAACCACCTGGTCATGCCGGGCCAGTAGTTTAAAGAACGTAGACATTGAAATAATTCGGACTGGTGAAAGTTGATGCGGTCCAGTGAATCACAATCTATCATTTTTTTCTCGGTTAGAAGGTTATAGATTTTGAAAAAAATAACCCACTTCTCTTGTGTAGTCCCAACTGTCCAGGCCTCTAGTGACCAAGACGTGTTTTTCTGACAAACCCGAGGCTTATTGGTGCCTTTAGAAGACGTCACAGTTTACCTCAGCATGATTTATGATAACGTGCATCCACTAATGTTTGATTTGTACTCTGATGAGGAAAGCTTCTTCCAAATCGACAATGCTGCCATCTACCATGCCCAAATTGTGCATGCATGGCTTTGAGAACAAGATGGGAACTTCGGGCATCTCTCATGGCCACCACAATCCCCGGAACTCAATCCAATCGAGCATCTGTGGGATGAACATGAAAGACACTTTCGCCATCTTGATCCTCTGCTTACCTCGTTCCACGAATTGCGTACAATATTAATGACCTAACGGGGAAAAAACTTCAGGGCATCTCCCAGCTCCTTGTGGATTCTATGCTACGTCGTTATCATGGCTGTTATTTGGGAAAAGTGTGGTCCAACCAGGTGGATCAACACGTATTTAGGTATAGTTCATAAGAAAGTGGCCAGACCCTGTATTTTAGTATAGTTTTTCCCGTTATTCACTGAAAGTTTGTTAAACTGCAAGTTTCTCTCCACTAAGGGAATGGCTTTGGTGTCGTTGATTCGAGCAAAAGTTGTTGGTCGTCCGAGGAAGGATCCCGTAACTGGAGAATTACTCAGTCACCCCAGGGGTGTCTCAGATATTACTGCAGCGGTAAGTGTTTTAGATTTTTTGCTAAAGAAGGTGGGTTCAGCGATTAAATATGATTTTTATTGCAATTAAAAGTAACTTTTTTTTGTAGCTACAAAAGTGCTCCGTTTGGTTTTTATTTTTTAATATTAGAGACAAAACTTTTATGAAGAATAGAAACAAAGTAAAACAGACATTTGTCTGCTATACGTAAAACTATTACTGTTTTACTTACAAATAATAATAAACCAGAAAGTTAGATTGGCTGTTTGTAAAGGACTTGTAGATATACATACATATATATATATATAAACAAGGAGAAGAACGAGTATTTTTAAAACTTCTTGTTATATCAACATAAGCAGCGGAAGAACTTTGGAAAACAGAACCCTCGAGGGGCACCTTTCGCATTTTTACTGATCTGTGAAAAACAAATGCCAAACCAAATCGTGCCAGTATAACATTTTTAGGCTCTTCATGCTGTTTTACCAACTTTGTTATATTCTTAATGATATAGTGTTAATTTTTTGAACAGAGGCACTTTACTTCTTTGAAAAAAAAATAAAGTTTCGCCGTCTATGTGTATAACAGTGTTTGGCTTATATATTTTTTAAACAGAAATTAGACATCAGACGACCCAGATCTGAGGAAAGTACAGAATACCACAATTACTTAACTAGTCAGGCAGAAGCTCGTCGACGTCAGCGACAAGAGCAAAAGGAACAAGAAATACGGGAACACCAACAGGTTTGTTGTGAAATTCCTGAATTTATTTTTCTTTTTTTTTAGTTACAACTAGTTGTTATTGAAATAAAATTGAAAACGTGACTGAAAAACGTCTAGAAAATTAACTGAAATTTGCCAGCGTTTAAATATGAATGGTATCGACATTCAGTGAAACTGATGTTAAAAAGATTTAGCCAGTACTAAATACCTATTTTGCTATTTTAATTGAATTGATTAAAAGTTGACACCCTTGTATTTAAATTTTTGGATGATTTGGTGCCGTTGTTGTTGTTTGAAGTTAAGCACAAAGCTACGCAATGGGCTATCTGTGCTCTGCCCACCACGGGTATCGAAACCCGGTTTCTAGCATTGGAACTCCACAGACATACCGCTGCACCACTGGGGGGGGGGGCAATTATTGAATGACTATTTTAAATCGATTTAGGCCTAACTAATAATTTTAGGCAAGCTTTAACTGAAGAAGCATTATTTGATTAAACTGTTTCTGTTTGTAATTAAGCACAAAGCTACACAATGGGCTATCTGTGCTCTGCCATCCACGGGTATCGAAACCCATATTCTGGTGTTGTAAGTCCGCAGACATACCGCTGTGCTACTGGGGGGCTATTTGATTAAAGGCTAAAAAATATTATTAACGTGACCCTACTAGGTCTTGTGGCTAGCATGCTTCGAGCCGTGAATTCTAGGGTTCATGGTTTGCGACCCGTTGCCATAAAACAGTGCTTCGCACTTTGGATGAATGACGGTCATATACACTAAAACAAAAGTAACCTAAGACATGGCGGTGGGTGCTGTCGACTAGATGCCTTCCCTCTAGTCTAACAGTTCAAAATTAGAAACGGTTATGGGCAGAAAGCAGTTTATTTATCTTGACGCGAAAATTCTAAAACAAATGAAATAATCAAAGTGACTGTATTCGAGTAATAAATAAATACACTTGATTGGTTTGATGAAACATCCCAACAGTAAATAATAGTAGAATCAAGCTAATAATGGATAAGGTTAAACAAACTCGTTACAGCACTAAGCTTAAAGTTCCTGATGACGATAGCGTCAACGAAACGTTGAACTTTGTATTAGTGTTTTTTTTTAAACCATATTCCATGTTTTGATTTTACTGGTTTGCGTTAAAAATCGTCTTATGATCGTACCTTATTTTAACTCTTATGACGTATATTTTTAATTATAGGTTAATAAGTTACTAGACATACATTAATAGATTTAATATCTCCATTGTCAGCCTAGACATACATTAATCGATTTAATATCTCCATTGTCAGCCTAGACATACATTAATAGATTTAATATCTCCATTGTCAGCCTAAACACACGTATTTGTTTTAATTTTTGTCCCCAGTGCGTCATCGATAAGTTTACAAAGACAAAATCCGTGGTTCATTTCCCGTCGTGGACATGGTGTAGCTTTGTACTAAAACAAAGAAACAAACTTTCATTTCGATTTAATTTTGCGCTCGCTCGAATCCTGCAGCTATTTACAATGATCATCACTGAAATAGAACTTGGTGGTCACATCTTGAAGCTTGGGAGACTTTAAAATGTTAACGATGAATGTATTTCCATGGCAACAGTCTATGTTCTATAACATTTGGTAGCTTTTGTGGCGTTAGAACAATGTGCATAACAGCGAAGGTGTTCCCATAGAAACAGAACACGGATGAAAGATACTAGTTGTTATTATTTAGCTGTGAAGTTATCGATGTCATGGTTAAATTTATACAACATGCTTAATTTTATTGTCGGTGTTATGATGTAATTTTGGGAACAATAAAAGTCACGTTCGATAAATATTTACAGGCCTCCAATACTGGTTGTCATGTTATAGCATATTAATGGCTGGCACGAGCGTTGTCTTGTTAGGTCAGGTATAAATTGAGAGGAATAAGGCCTATTTCTAAATTCTTATTATTATTGGTTTCTGTGTTGCAAATATAAGTTTTCAGGATGATGTTATAATGTTCTTTATGACATACTTACATTATTTAATACTTCGTTTATCTTTACAGCATCTGGAAACCTGGAATTCCTTGTGGGGTAGAGGGGGAAGCGGGGCTCCTATTGATCCTAATAACCATCATAAGCCCAACCTCGAGTCCATGTTGAACAATTCCGGTCCGGGGGTAAGGGAATTACTTCCCAAAAACTTTTAGGATATTTGTTATTTATTTACTGTTCTGAGTTGTGTAATCCAAACATATCTTTATTAAACTTGCGAAGCTTATAAAACTTACCACAACAAATGCTGTAAATGTTATAAAATGTGTTTTGTTAGGGAAGATATTTTCTGTCTTACGGCAGAAAGTTTTATTATTATTTTAATGAAAATTAGTATTATTATTATCGTATTACAATATATAATTTGACTTTTAAGGTTAAACTTTCCTTAAATCAGTGAATCGTAAACTTTATATTGTGTCAGCTTCAAATATTATGTTAGGATTTATCCGAAGAGTATGCAAAGCACAGTCCTTGTCCACTAGATGGCTTTACCACGGAAAAATTAATAACTTGTTATAAACTAATTTATGATTTGTCAGCAAGATCTAATGAAGTACAACTTACAAAAAACAGTCAAAACTTAAGTAGATATTTTTGCAGGAACTGTTTTTAACTGATTTTCCCCCTTTCCTTATAGGTAGCTGAACCTTACGTTAAGCATTATACCCAAGAGATAGTTCCTAGCAAGCATTGCAATCGTTACGAGTTAGAAACCGATCCGTTTAAAGTTATAACTGTAAGTTATTTTGTTACAGTGCGATTATAAGTTACTTTGTTACAGTGCGACTGTTAAGTTACTTTGTTACAGTACGGCTTTAAGTTACTTTGTTACAGTGCGACTGTTAAGTTACTTTGTTACAGTGCGACTGTAAGTTATTTTGTTACAGTGCGACTGTTAAGTTACTTTGTTACAGTACGGCTATAAGTTACTTTGTTACAGTGCGACTGTTAAGTTACTTTGTTACAGTACGGCTATAAGTTATTTTGTTACAGTGCGGCTATAAGTTATTTTGTTACAGTGCGACTGTAAGTTATTTTGTTACAGTGCGACTATAAGTTACTTTGTTACAGTGCGGCTATAAGTTACTTTGTTACAGTGCGACTGTTAAGTTACTTTGTTACAGTGCGACTGTAAGTTATTTTGTTACAGTACGGCTATAAGTTACTTTGTTACAGTGCGACTGTTAAGTTACTTTGTTACAGTGCGACTATAAGTTACTTTGTTACAGTGCGACTGTAAGTTACTTTGTTACAGTGCG